GGTGGAGCGAGCTGATCCTGTCAGACCAATGCAGATTCAGGTTTGGTGCCAGTGCCAAGCCTGTGGCCTCTTGCAAAAGTCTCAGGTCACACTGAATCCAGTTGCTGCCCATCTCAGGCCTACAAACTCCTGAGGTTTGTTCAAGAGGTACTGCAGCTTGGGCCTGCGCTGGTGGCCCACCACCGAAAGTCTCTCCCAAGATGTGTGGGTTGCCTGGCTGACAAATGCGCCACCCAGTGAGAATGCAGGGTGGGGCTGGTTATCAGGCAGTGAGCTTGCCACAGGCGAATTGTGGATTGCATAGGCAGCATCTCAAGGAGAGGCAGGATGGAGCATTCGATCCCGCCAGGCCAGTGCAGCCTCAGACCTGACACCAGTGCTGAGCTTGTGGTCCTCTGCAAAAGTTTTAGATCACAGTAAGACCAGCCACCGCCCACTTAGGGCCCACAGACCCCTGTGATCTATTCAAGAGACACTGTGGCTTGGACAGATGCTGGTGGCCTGCCACCAAACGTCTCCCCTGAGATGTGCGGGCTGTGATTGGGCTGCGAAAGCCGAAGGCCACTGACCCCTCATGAATGTGCCACTCACTGAGAATGCAGAGTGGGGCTGGTTACTGGGCAACGTGCTTGCCATGGGTAATTTGTTGTGGTAGGGTCTCAGGAATACCCGGGGTGGAGCGAGCCAATCTAACCGGGTCAATGCTGATTCAGCATTGGCCATGCAGTGGGAGGGTTCAGCACAGGCAAGATGGTGCCTGCCTGTAGACTGCACCGGAAGATGGCTGAACAAAGGAAAAGTGGCGGCTATCCCTCCAGCCCTCACTCATGCTACACAACTCAGTTTTCCCTGGTATGTTTCTGGCACCTCCCAAGCTGCTCACCCTCTGCCGGAGCCCAGGATGAGTGTCTATAAATGAGTGATTCTGTGCACGGGCCCTTTAATGGGGACATCTGGATTTTCAGGTTCCTTCCATCTCACCTGGATAGCCAGAATTCCCAGTGATTTTTACAGTCACATTTTGTGGGAACTCCTCTTCCTGGCATTGATTCCCTGGGCCGGGAAGCCCCTGTATTGGAATAGGGCCTCTAGCTCCTTCAGGGGGACCTCTGCTGCTGCACTCTCCCTTCTGGGGCTCAACCACCATGCGGGTGTGAAACCAGCCTATTTCACATCTCCGCCCCTCCTATTGATCTTGATGTGGCTTTTCCTTTATATCTTCAATTGTGTGTGATATGCTCAGCTAGTCTTAGGTGATTCTCCAAGTTGATTTTTTAAAATAATTTGGTTGTAATTTTAATGCAATCATGTGAAGTGAACTCCATGTTTACCTAGTCTGCCATCTCGATCCCTCTTGAGAGATATATATTTTAAATATACAAAAAAAAAAACAGAAAAAATGTACACATTATTTTAGTACTTAATACTAATTTTTTTTGTTTCATTCCCATAATAATATATTATTTCGTGTAACAATTTTGCGTATTTGAAACACTTTGTTATCGCACTGAATATTCACAACAGCCTTGTGAGACAGACGGGGATGGCACATACTCTCATCTTTTTTATAGATGATGAAACTAATATATAGAGCTGTGGTCTGACTGTGTTCACACAGCCAAACACATAGCTCTATGTTCTTTCTGAGTGATTAGGATCTTTGAAATGATTTAATGGCTTGATTTTAGAAAGTTAAAAGAGAGGAACTGGTTACTAAGACTCATAAAAATCTGACCCTTTCTCCAAGCAATCAGATTTGAGTCTGCTCTTAGGAAGGCTGGAATTCTCCCAGAGATCTGGATCTATGCTGACTCCTCCAGTTCCCCACAAAGTGAAATTGGAATGCTAGGTTAAATTGAGAAATGTCTAAAGTCTCCAAGAGTAGGCATCTTGAATCACTCTAGACTTCAGATTATCCTTTTGTTTTTCCCCAGACTGAACCAGAAACGGGCTACCCAAAGAGATAGAGGAAAGCAACTCTATATAGTTCTAGGAAGGAACTGTGTGTGTGTGTGTGTGTGTGTGCACGCACACACACACACACTTACGCACACAAACACACATAACATTCAGCTATTTTACACTTATTTTTTCTAGTTGACCTATTTTATCAAATGACAAACTTTACTCTTGTTAAATTATATTTATGAGCTTGGCCTGTACCAACTCTAGTCTTTCCATTTAGATTGTACTTAATGTATCCTACAGCAGAGAAGTGGAATTAAAGAAGATGAGGAACTATATTATAAACCTGAAAATGTTTACAAATACATTTTTGAGTGTTGTGATAATAAATGATCTGGAAGGGGAACATTGAAATGCATGAGACAAGGTAGAATATCTAAGTGATGAAACAGAATAGGGAAAACTAGATCAGGGATTTATAAACAAGAAGTACCCTCTTACTTCACTAGTAATTTTGAGTCCAGTCTAACAACCTGTAAACACTTTCCACTTTGACCTTGCCTGCCACAACATAATTAAAACATCACTTGTATAAAAAATCAAATTTGCAATAAATAAAATAACTGAAGTGTCCTTCAATAGATGATTGCATAAAGAAGATGTAGTACATATATGCAATGGAATAGTACTCAGTCATAAGAAGAGATGAAATATTGCCATTTGCGACAACATGGATGGAACTTGAGATAATCATGCTAAGCGAAATAAGTCAGACAGAAAAAGTTGAGATCCGTATGATTTCACTCATATCTGGGATATAAAACTGAAGACAACAAACAAACAAAAACTCAGACACAGACAACAGTTTAGTGGTTACCAAAGAGAAAGGGAGGAGGGAGAGGTAGTTGAGGGTAAAGGGAGTCAAATATATGGTGACGGAAGAAAATTTAACTCTGAGTGGTGAACACACAATATACAGATGATGTATCGTTGAATTGCGTACTTGAAGCCTATATAACTTTATTAATCAATGTCACTCCAATAAATTTAATTTAAAAATAATTAACTTCAAAAAATTATATATCACTGACTTTGCTTTCAGATTGAATATATTTGATAAATTTTATAGAAGGCAGATAAGGGAGGGAAGGGATACTGAAGAGAATGTAAGAGCAGAAGATATTTGAAGACAAAAATCTGGTTTTATGTATCTTTGCAATCTGTCTACTCTCTCCAAGCCTAGTATAGTGCTCTGTACATGATAAACACTCAATATATATTTTGAAATTAAGTGTAAAGAAGACCACAAGCTAATCAATTATCATACTTAAAGAAAAATGACGGTGGTAGAAGAGCTCACTCGTCAAATCCTCCTTGACCGCCCTAAAGCATTTAACCCTGCTATCTTAGTCATTTAACCTGTGTTTTATAGCTTCTTCTCTGTTAAACTCATAGGGTTGTTGTGAAGATTAAATGGTAATGTCTATAATGTATTTAGCATACTTCCTGGAATATAAATGCTAACCTATGTTAGTTTATTATTAT